TGCGGGCGGGGGGCTGCTGGGGGCGGGGGGGGGGGCTTGATGCATGTGCCCGCCCCCTGGGCTCTTTACTGCTGGAACTTTGCTCTTGTGCGCTCCTGCAGGAAATGACCCCTGCCAGTTAGTGTAGAGGTAATGCTGAGCTAGAGAGACCACTGGGCTCACATAGGATTGCCAACTCTGGCGTAGGGATTTCCTGGAGAGTTGAGGCTGAAATCTGGGGGGAGGGCAGACTGTTCAGAAGCCAAGGAACTCAGAGGGAATGTGATTCCATGAAGTCTGCCCTCCAAAACAGACGTTTCCTCCAGAGTAACATAACTCTGTAATCTGGAGATCGGTTGTAATGCTGGGGGGAATTTCCAGGCCTCCACCTGGAGGCTGGCAACACTAGTAACTTAGTATACAATACGTGCAAAACAATTTTCCATGCAATCCTGGCTGCAGTTCACCAGCATGATCTCACGTCATCCATCACCATCTTTACATTTTTGCACCTTGATGCATGGACATTTATTTGTTACAAATACTAACCAACCCCAACCCCAGCCCTGTTTAGCTTCCAAGATCTGATGAGATTGGCCTAGCCTGGGCCATCCGGGCCAGCAGTAGCAACGAGCAAAGAAACAAAAATCATGTTTAAAAATTAAAACAAAACACGTCACCCCTGGAGATATTTCAAGATGGGTAGCCTAGCCGTGTTCGTCTGTCTGTATCTGAAGAAGTGAGCAGTGGCTCCGGAAAGCTCCTACCCTGCCACGTATTTTGTTAGTCCTTAAACTGCGGTGGCTCAAGTGGTTAAGACGCTGAACTGCAGGCTGTGGAAGGTCGGTAGTTCAGCAATTCAAGACCCGGGTGCCACATGACGGAGTGAGCTCCCGTCTCTAGTTCCAGCTCCTGCCAACCTAGCAGTTCAAAAGCAAGTAATTGCAAGTAGATAAATAGGTACCGCTTCGGTGGGAAGGTAACAGCGTTCCGTGCGCCTTGGTGTTTAGTCATGCCGGCCACATGACCACGGAAACGTCTTCGGACAGCGCTGGGTCTTCAGCTTTGAAACGGAGATGAGCACCGCAACCCTAGAGTCGGATTCGACTGGCTTTCGAGCAAGGGAACCTTTACCTTTACCTTTACCTTACCCTACTCTATTTTCCAAGGAACTGACCGGAGCATGTGGGCATTGCTTTCATGGCCAGCAGAGGGCAGCACAGGGCAACGCTTTGCTTATACTTTGAATTGATTTTTGACTTTCTTCCCCAGCAGGGAGAAACGTGAAGAGTATTTTAACAAGGGCGGCAGAGGTAGGTCCTGCAAGATTCATTGGTTTGTGCACCTGCATTTGATACTTCTGTGGGTGGGATGTGTTCTAATGGGGTCTGGGATTCCTCAGTTCCTGGGGAAGAAAGTTGTACAGATCATGGTGCAGCGACAGGGAGTCCTGACCTCTCTAGGACAGGGATCGGGCCACTTTTAGTAGCAGATAAGGACAGAATTCAGGGTCAGGATGCCAGCTTCCAGGAAAGAGTATTTTAACAAGGGTGGCAGAGGTAGGTCCTGCAAGATTCATTGGTTTGTGCACCTGCATTTGATACTGCTGTGGGTGGGATGTGTTCTAATGTGGTCTGGGACTCCACAGTTCCTGGGGGAGAAAGTTGTACAGATCATGGTGCAGTGACAGGGAGTCCTGACCTTTCTAGGACAGGGATCGGGCCACTTTTAGTAGCAGATAAGGACAGAATTCAGGGTCAGGATGCCAGCTTCCAGGAGGTGCTGGGGGATCCGGAATTACAGCTCCAACCCTAATTCAGGGGCATCTGGATATTCCAGCAGTAGAATGAGATACAGAGCACCGGCAGATGGGTACAGGGAGCGGAAATTCCTGCATTCTTTAGATAGTAGGATCTGGTGACTAAGGCCCCCCCCCCCCCCTTAGAAAAAGAGCAGAAGAGAGGGCAAAGCTGCCCTTGGAATTTACAGAAAACTGTCCTCAGTCCTATCACTACTCTATCTTGCCTTTACTCCGTGAGCCTGAAGTTCTTCCTTTCTTCCATCTTATCCTCCCAACAAGCCTGTGAGACAGGTTAGGCTGAGAGAGAGTGATTGCCTCAGGGTCACCCAGTGAACTTCCTGGCCAGTTGGGGGATTTGAACTGCTACAAAAAGAGCCTTGCCTGTCAGGTATTTTCGCAGCCTGCCTCTGATTGCTCTCGGGGCTAATTCATGTCAACAGCAAAAGATGTTTCCTGGACCATACCGAGGGCTGCTGACTCTGGGTTGGGAAAATCCTGGAGCTTTGGATGTGGAGCCTGGGGAGGGCAGGGCTAAGGGAAGAGAGGGACCTCAGCATGGAGACCAACACTGAAACTAGCCCTTTTCCTCCAGGGAAATGGATTTCTGTCACCTGGAGATCAGTTGTAATCCCAGGAGTTCTCCAGGCCTCACCTGAGGTCGGCAGCCCTAACTGTCCAACTTCAGATTCCTGATGCCGTTGTGTGTGTTGTTGCTTGATTGACAGTGCCATCCCCTGCAGCGTTATGTCCTTCTAAGCCTACAGACTTCAATTGCCTTCGGAGGGTGTCACTCTGTTCAGTACAGGTGGGTAGCCGTGCTGGTCAGAAGCAGCAGAACAAAGTTCGAATCAAGTGGTACCCTACAGTTTGGATAAAACTTTGTTGGCCTCAAAGGTGCCACTTGACTCAAACTTTGTTCTGTTTTAGTACAGCTAGATTTGAGTCTGTTGGCAACATCCCTCCTACCTTCTGATTGGGATATAAGGACTCGGGGATCTTCATTCCTACTTGTATCTGACGAAGGGAGCTTTGATTCTCGAAAGGTTCTACCCCAGAAACCTCGTTGGGCTCTCAGGTGCCACTGGACTCGAATCCAGCTCTTCTAGACCAACACGGTTGCCCTCTGAAACTGTCTGTTTAGGACTGCGCTCTGAATCCTCTTCCATATTTTTAAGAAAAACTTTGAATGTAGAATTCCTCTTCACACGTTACAGTATACAGATGTGAATCCTGTGTGTACCTGCATACATGTTTGTAAGAAAGAGCCAATATTCATTCGCTTTACAAATGAAACTGGTTTAAATCACACATTCAAGCTGTACATGTGTTGAATGTAACGTGAGAATTATTCAACCCACATAATTTTAACATATCAAGGATACACTGTATATGGATTGTTTGCACATCTGCTGTATCTGAATAATTTATTTATTTGCTTTATTTATCATGCACTTTATTTATTTATTTATTTATTTGCAGCTTCCGTAAAAAGTTAAAACACACAAAACAAAGCAATCACAAAAACCATCGTAGGCCATCGTAACGTGCCAGTGACAGTAACAGATAAGCCAGCATATGAGAAAAGGATTCTGACCAGAGGTCATTTCGGGGGGGGATCGCGGGGGATCGCAGTTCCCCCAGGTGAGGTACGGGGGCGGGGCACATGAAGAAGCCCCGCCCCCTGCTTCCGGCTGCCCCGCTTCCGGCCCTCATTCAGCCAGGAGGAGGCAGGAGAAGAGGGAGGGTAAGTTGCTTCCTCCCTGCCTCTCCCCACCCCTGCCTGCCTGGGGCCAGGGAGGGCCTTCGCGGGGCTTCCTTGCACTCCCACCGGCCTTGCAGGTCCCCTGCCAGGCCCCTCATGGGGCTCGGCAGTGGAGCTGAAAGGCCAGCGCCGGCGGCCGGGACCGTTGTGGGCGGGGTGTGTGGCCTTATAACACGCTTCCGGTGATGTCAGGGGGTGTGGCCGTATGACACACTTCCGGTGATGTCAGGGGGTGTGGCATATGCTAATGAGTTATGCTAATGAGTTCCCCTAGCTCTTTTTCTACGAAACGACCCCTGATTCTGACACATGCCCTCCTTACTCGTGCTTTAAT